GAAGGGAGGGCAAGGAAAGGAAATTAAAAGGTTAATTTGGTGTTTGAAGGAAGAGTGGGTGGTACCTGAGTCCCATTGTGGGTTGGATTATATTGACATTGAGGCTTGTCCTCCATTTCTGCTTCAACCCCAGACACTCTTAATGACTCTTGCATCAGAGTAACGATCAATCCTCCTGTCCAACATACACTGCAGGAAGGATTTTGCAGTTCATTGACAAAATGGAACAGGAGGGGTCCTTTCATTTTGCCCACAAAATATAGTCTGTCCACTTTACAGTATATTCTGTGAAGTGCTTTGACATGATAACTATTAGTCATCCATAAGAACATAAGAATTTGCTAGGTGAAAGAAGACCAAGGTCCATCCTGGCAGTCGCTTGACATTTATGTCGCAAACTATGTACCGTATTACAAGATATTATTTTCTATTAGAAATCTATCTAATTTGTTCTTGAAACATTTTCTGCTTCCACGTCTCCCTAGGGAACCTGTTCCATAAGTTTACTGCTCGCTCACTGATGTAGTGTTTCTGCAGATTTGTCCTGAATTTTCAACAGAATTGTTCTGAAATGAACCCCCATTCAATTGCAGATCATGTCCTCTGGTTCTCCTGTTCAGTACAAGATAAAACAGCTTATCATGGTCTGCATTATCTATTCCCTTCAGAATCTTAAAGGCCATAATCATATCGCCCCCTCAACCTTATAATAATAATAATCCTTGCATTTGATATAGCACTTTTCACGTCGGGAGGACATCCCAAAGCACTTCACAGAACACACTGTAAAGTGAATTGACTGTATATTTGTGGGCGAACGCGGCAGCCAATTGCGCACAGCAAAAACAATTGTACAAACAATCATAGATTGAAAATGACCAATTTATTATTGGTTTTGGTTTTGGAGGGATTAGTATTAGGCTCTGTGTGGAGTAAGGAAACTTGCCCAAGGTTTCGCCCTGTCTGGAATTGAACTCAGGTCTCTCACTTGCAAAGTGAGTGCTCTAACCACTGAGCTACAGGACTCCACAGTGTGAACCTTTTCTCCAGTGTGTACATGCTGAGTTTATCTACTCGCTCCTCAAAATCCAGTCCTTCCATCCCTCAATCATTTTGCTTGCCCTCCTTTCTATCCTCTCAATCGCTGCAATATCCTTTTTGACTCTCAATCTGCTGATGTCCTGTCAGATTGTTTGACAGACATCAAGGCCTGGATGAGCACAAATTTCCTGCAGCTGAATGTTGGCAAGATGGAAGCTATACTCATTCGCTCCCATCAATGTCTTCTCTCCTGTGGGACTGAACTCCTCAAACTTCCCAGGCTCTCCCTCAGACTCACCGAACCTGTGCATAACTTAGAAGTCAGGTTGATTCTCCAATTTTCCTTCCTACCCCACATCCATTCTCTGACGAGGACCGCTTTTTTCCACCTCCGTCACATTGCTCGGCTCCATCCGTACCTCACAACAAAAGAAGACAAAACCTTGTCCGTGCCTTCGTCACTTCCCAGCTGGATTAAACCAATGCCCTCCTTCCTGGTCTCCCCAGTTCCACAGTACGAATAATTCAAACTCCACTGTCCGGATTCTCACCTGCACAAAACTCCGTACCCCATCACACAAGTCCTTGCCAGGCTCCTCTGGCTCCCAATTACTGAACAGATCGATTTCAAGGCCCTCTCAATAGTTTTCAAATCCCTTCATGCCCTCCCCCACCCACTGCCTATGCTTGGCTGGCTCCAGCCTTCTGTTCATCCCTCGTCCCCTCCGCTCCTCCATTGGTGGCTGTGCCTTCAGCCACTGCGTCCCTCAAACCCTCCGCTTTGCCACCTCCCTCCCCACTTTCAAATGTTGCTTAAAGACCTTTTTGATCGTGCTTACTATCACCTCCCCCTGGCTCGGGGTCATTGTCGAGCGCTTCTGGATGCTATGTAAGTGCAAGTTGTTGTTGTTATATTGCGGTGACCGGAACTGCATACTGTATTCCAAGTGAAGTTGCACCGGTGATTTATAAAGTGTTAGGATTACCCCACTACATTGGTTCAATATTGCCCTTTTAATACAACCCAGCATCTGATTTGCCTTACTCACTGCTACCAAGCAGTGTCCATAGAATCATAGAATCTTACAGCATAGAATGAGGCCATTTTGGAAGAGCTACTCAATCATAGAATCATAGAATTATACAGCAATAGCACTGTTGCAATAGCTTCAATTTATTTTCAATCAGGACTCCATGACCTTTTCATTTTCTATACGGATTATTTCTCATCATTTTAAATAATAGTCCCTTCCTCGATTTATTTTTGTTGCCATGTGAAGTACTTTGCATTTCTGTACATTGAATTTCATCTGTCATCGTCTGCCTAATTCCCAAGAATGTAACCTATTCTGTTCATCTTTGCAGTCTACTATCTTTGTGTCATCTGCAAATTTAGCCACTGTGCTTATGACTCCTAGTTCCAGGTCTTTTATGAAGATGTTAAATAAAAGAGGTCCCAAAACAGTCCCCTGTGGAACTCCATAAGTAACATTCTTCCAGCCTCATAATATTTCCTGTATCACACCTTCTGGGTTCTATCGGTCAGTCAATTACATATCCATTGCAAGATACTTTCTCTGATTCCCACTTTCTTTATTTTCAGTACCAGCCTTTCACGAGGAACTGTATCAAAGATCTTCCTGAACTCGGATATACAAACATCCACTGCCTTATCCTTACCAAGCCTGTTATCAACCCTTGGCAGATTACTTGAATCTTGGCAGATCTTTTTGTTCCAATGACCGTTTCCTTTTGCCTTACTCCTTATTATCTTAACTATGCAAGCTGACTGAAATATTAATCCACCAGTGTTTTTTTTAACCAGGGCCCATTTCAAAGTAACGTGTATAAATAACCAGAAATATTGACAAATTACCATCTGAGCATTCAATAGAAGCCGACCAACCATGTGAGATGTGGTCAGTCCTTTTCATCTGTCAGCTACAGCATTTAGAACTCCACCTGCTTTCAATAACAATTTGACTCCAGTGAATATGATCGCAGCATTGAAAATTCAAACAAGTGATTGACATATGCACCATTTTTATATAGTGATTGGAAGCAAACCTTTTTTGAAACCATTCTTGCAAAGAATTTGTGATGGAGGTAATGCTCTTTACATTAGATTTGTGATGGAGATTACACAAAGGAGGCAGAGAATGTCCTGTTAGAGAAGGGGCGAGGGGTTAAAGTCGTGCAGAAACAGACAATACCTTCTCTTGATCATGTAGCAGCAAAACTGTAAAAGCAGTAGCTAAGCAAAAGGGAAGAGGTTTGTGCCTCAATGGCTCAGAGAGTTTGAAGCTTGGGGGCTGAAAGACTATAGCATAACGCTCAATACATGGAGGAAATATGGAGATGGTGTCCTGAAAAAAGCAGTTCACCTGAGTATCGATGTGCATCTGACACTGAGATCAACCAATGCTGAAATGAATTGTGTAACATAAATGGGAACATTTCATTCCAATCTTCATCAGCTTGGACACTAATCTTCTCCAAGGTGCCAGGAGCTGCCTTTCACTGCAATCCGGCTTCTTAGAAGTGGGGAAATATGGTGATTAGAGTATTGGTATGACTATCGTTTACATCTAATAACTAGCCAAACAGTACTGGCACTATGTCTATGATGTCAGTATGAAGTATTTTGTCCAACGTGCAACTTATTTAGTTAAGTTTCATTTACTGAGCAAGCCACAAAGAGTAAAATATTGATATGGTTCATCTGATACTAATGGTTACTTACCATACTTGTATTCAGCAATGAGGAATATATGCCAACATTTCAAAAGGACTTTAGTTTGTAATTGAAATTCTTACTGAAGTAAGGAATTTTTATTGTCTCAATGATATTTTGCACAAAATGTTAAGTTTCTACATTGAGGTTGACAATTACTGATCCAAATCAGGTCAAGAGAGTACGGAGGAATTCACAGGACAACTGGAAAATCAAATTGCTGGAAATGCTGTGTGTCTGTTCAGGTGGATATGAAGGATCCCACAGTACTATACAAAGAGTATCTTGTGATGTTCAAGCCAATAATCTCCAGATTAAATTGGTCATTCACTATAGGGATGTTTGTGGGATATTGTACTATATGCTGCGACATTCACCTATAGTGACTAGTTGAGTGAATCCGATGGAAACTCTTAATAGTCTCTTAAACGCATTTTTGTCTGGCTATATTAATAATCATCATAAACTATGTACTGAAGCTTGTTTGAAAGGATAAACTGAATTTTTGACTTATCTTGTACTAAAGTTATACCACATTAAATGCAAAGAACACTGCAGTCAACTTTTTGAATATCAAATGATCAATTTACTTTTTATACCGAGCCTTTCATAGCAGGAGCACAGCCTAAGATGCTGGACAGCTGAGAGCTGCACCTGAGCTGGTATCTGAGATACGGCTGTCGTTGGGGAAGATGACCAAAAGTGCGGTCAAAACAGAAGGGCTAGGGCAGGGGGACGATAGTCATCTAATCCTTGCATTTTATATAGTGCCTTATCATGTCTTTGAAATGTCTCAAAGAACTTCACAGAATATACTGTGAAGTGAATTGACTATATTTTGTGGCCGAAACATGGAAGCCAATTGCGCACAGCAGTGTCCCATAAACACAATCGTGGATTGAGTGACCACATTTTTTTTTGATGATGACCAAAGGTACGGTCAAAACAGATGGTCTTGAGATGGACCTGGAACGGTTGAGACTGAGGGGCTCCAGAATGAAATTCCAAAGTGGGGGCAGCAAACTCTGAAACATCAACTGCTGAGGGTGAGGCAAGCAGAACAGGGGTTGTGAAGCAGGCCACTCCTCACTGAGCAGGTGGGTTGGTTAGATGAGAAAGCCAGTCAGAAACACTAATTGTCCAGCGCCTTGGGAGTCCTCCTGACGTGAAATGTGGTATACAAATGCAATTTTGTTGTTGTGATAAACATGAGGCAGAATTACTATAAGGGTACAAATGGTTGTATCTATTTCCTCCACAAATGTGAAGACACTTTAACATCACTCGAGGCAGGAAAAAAATAACCGACAGAATGTTGGCAGCTCACAGAAGATGAAACAACATTTGAAATACAATGAGTTAATGCTTCAGGTGGGAATTTGCATATGTGGAACTGTCAAGCATACTGTCAAGCATTCAATATTTCAGACAATCAGCTGAAAAAAAAACTTCAAGTATATCTCTTGCTGAGAGCCAGCTGACAAGATGGACATTGGTGATGGGTTTCTATCTATGTATGTATGTACTGCCTCAGCCTGGTTGGAAGACAAGAGCTCTGGTTTGGTTAGCTGGATTTGAGAATAGGTTTGAATCATGATTGGCAAACAACTTAACTCAGCTTAGACCACACCTGCCCGTTGAGTGGTGGTCCATGAGTCAGGAGTCGTCCTTCCCTGCAGCCTTTATTCCCTCTTAAACCACAAACCCACCTGGAACCTGAAAAATATATTATTATTGCTGGAAATGGTTTAAGGACAGTGAAAGCATGTGGAGATAGCTCACTCTAAGCATATTAAAAAAAACTTTGGGTCAACATATAATGAGTGGTTTTAGTTTCACATGCCAATCCTTTTTATTCCATCAACATCTTGTGCTTCGCAGTCGCCAAGCTCTGCAGTCATTACTTATTGGCATTTGTTAAACTGGAAAAGTCCTCCCTTTCTGAAACATTAGGAAGAAATTCAGACATTTTGGTGAAAAGTTGCATATGCTTCATGTTTGGTAAACTTTTCATTTTAGCACCAAGTTATATTGTGTATTTTCTGGAAACATGGTTTTCCCTCCACTGGCCTACTGCTGCGCTGTAAACTTTCTATGACTGATTTGAATGTATAACAGGCCCTGCAGGTCACACTGACTGTCAGATGTGATCTATGCAGCGTTGCACCCGTCTGGTGTTTCTTAGTGGATTGTCTTCAAATCAGACACCAGTCATCTTTTTTTTACTTCACTTTTCTCTTGGTGAGGAAGGAATTTTCCATTCAAGGTTTCCAATGAATTCTTATCAAGAAAGCAAACCTCTGAGCTTGAGCCACACATTATCTGTGGTTTTAGAATCAGGGGAAGAGGTGGCAGCCTTCACCAGCTATGTCCAATGCGTTGAAAGTTGTCGAAGCTGTACATTGAAACCAGTTCTGTGTGTGATGAACAGCAGTTTGTAAATATAACTGCACTGAAATCACCGTGGCACTTGCAGTCCGTTCCGTGCTATCGTTAATAAAACCGAATGGGGTATTGTATGACGAGGGCACAGAACTACTGATAATGAATGTCAGTCTCGTCGGTCTGAAGCAGTTGCTAAGGCTAGGAAACCAGAAGATCGCACCGTGGCTGGGTTGGCTGAAGGTTTAATATGCCTCCTGCTGGACTGGGTTTTTAACATTGGCAGTGTGCAGTGGTTGCAGGATCAAACAGTTTCCTGTGGAATGGCTTGGAAAGTTTTTTTCTGTTTCAGCTTTTTAAAATGTCTCTGTCTGGGTTTTTTCATTTGGTTTCAGGCCTCGTGAAGTCCAGGTCGTTCCCACTGCAGGACCACAGGCCTCAGTGCCTGATGGTACTGGATGCCCTGAAGTAGGATAGAAACTTGTAGCAAAGACTCACCACAAAGTACCAGATGTTACGAGCCATCTGGGATCGGGCAATGAAAACGCGCCAGATGACGACAAGGAGGATGGTGTTGAAGGCATAGCGGATATTTCGTAGCCTGGAAGGGAAAAGTCAGGAGTGAATGTCGGTTTACACTCAATTGAATGTCTCTGAAAAGGAGCCTGTCTCGATCACTTGGTGGCAATCTGGTACCCGAGTCAGAAGGTTGTGGATTCAAGGATTATTTTTGCAGTTATGAAACATCACCTGCAGCGAGGAGGGAAGAGAACTTCCTTGTTGGGATTTAACCCTCAGTCAACCTTCTCAAACATTGAGCAGCTGAATGTTGCTTAGGCACAAAATGGAGCATTCAACAGAGCTTTGCAAATGAGGAATGTCAGAAGCCAAGGAATTGGCAGGCGTAATCATTTCACTTCAGTCAGTAGGAGTGTCATCAGCACAGAAAAATTGCCAATACTGACATGACATAAGAATTTGTGAGTCACTGCTACATGATAGATTGAATAACCGTTTAATATGCTGTAAACTTCTATGGTTCTATATCCGCTATCCTGCAGGAATTGGGATTTGGGTATCCTTGTAGCTTTATCATCTCACCCCCCCCCTCCCATTTCCTACATTTTCTAAACAGAAGTGCATAGGACTGAGACCAAGTACTTACTTTTTTAAGTGCTGTCTTGCTGCTGGCAACCCAGACATGTCTTCATTCAGCACATACTTTTTTGTTCCTATACAGTAATTTTCTATGTATTCTGGCCAGTGAAGCTGACGGACATCAAAATTGAATCCCTGAAAATAACAATTGGAAGGATGATGAGATCCTCAGTCTTGCCTCAATCAATCAAGGTAGAAATTCTCCATCAAACATTCTCCCTCATGAATGCAGTGAAATTACAGTTGGCTCACAAATTTGGGTTGAAATATTGGGGTCTGCAAGTGTGACTTGGGAGAGAAAACAAAACTCACTACGTTTCAATTTGTTAGAATTGTCCAACTCTGCCACAGGCACCGTTGAGCAGATTTGTTGGTCAATGATTGGACTTTGCTTTATTCCTGATTCATCTTGATACTCTCTCTGTCTATCTTTGATAACATTGGACAATGATCTTCAGTTTCTGATTCAAATGGCTCAAAAAAGTGGATGCGCACCAGGCATCCACTGTTGTGGGACACCTTGTGGTTGCCCTGTTTTTGCAGTTAAACACCTCCCATGATAGGTTGACATATTAAATTTAGCGTTCTGGGCGCCAAGTAGAAAGGTGGAATTAAGAGGGGGGAGGGAATGGGGTGGCGATGCGAAGATGACCAAAGTCAAGGTCAATGGGGAAGGTCTTCAGATGCGCATAGGAGGAGGCAAGGAAGGGGGAGAGGTGGAGGTGCTCCGGGATGGAGTTTGAGGGCGGGAGCAGAGAGGCTGAAGGCCCAACTGTAGATGGTTGGGCAGGCCGGGCGGGGGACATGGAATAGGCCAAAGTCTGCTGAGCGGAGGGAGTCCGCAGGTCGGTAAGGAGTCGATAGTCATACTGGTTTTATCATGTGTACGATTTTAAAGTTGTGTTTTTAACAATTTCTAAGTTCACTGCAATGGCCCATCTGTACTAAACTAATCTTGCCACTATTAACACAGTGCATGGTGCAGAGGTCAAGATCGAGTGTGAGGAGGTGTCGGTGAGCCTGACAACACTGGACTGGTATTCAGCATTGTGCAGCTGGATGGATGAATTGGTGCTTACCTTCTTATCTTCAGGACTGAGGTAATTCATCAGCAAGTTCATATTGTCTGAACTCCACACCCAGGACTGGCTGCTGAAGTACTCCAGTAGCATCATGGATTTGTGAAGTCTGTTGAAGATCCTCATCATTCTGCAATAATAATATTTGCATTTGATATAGCGCCTTATCACACCTTTGTATCTCAAAGCACTTCACAGGATATACTGTGAAGTGGATTGACTGTGTATTTTGTAGGTAAAATGACAGGGTTCAGTTGAGCAGACCTGATGGACTGCAGAGACTGAGCAACGCTTGCCAAATGCCTGACTTGCTGGCAATCTCTTTTGATCTTGCCTTCTGCCAGTATTTGAAATCTGTTTCCTTGCACGATGCCCAGTGTGACGCACCTTCACGAGACAGTGGGGTTTACGTAGTGACCAGAATATTCTGGGCAGATTGAAGAGTCGCCATATTCAATGACTCAATATTTGGTGTTGCTCGAGCTGAATTTCAAGTCTCTCTGAACTATGCAAGTTATTCTGCAATGGGAAATGTAGATGTCCAGGGAATAACAGTGCTACAAGCAGTACCAGAGTCCAACTGTAGGTGCTCAAAATTTACCACACCCTTTAGGATGTGTACTTACCTTGGCTTTTGGCCTGTCAGCTTCAGGTAGACATCATAGAGTAAAGCAGGGGCTTTGTGACTAACAGTGATCCAGTATTGATTGATCAAGTAATTGGATGTTATGTTTGCATTGGGCCTCCGGAAGGCTTGCTCCAAGGGATTCCTCTTAAAGGTGGAAATAACATGGTATTCTGGAAAGAGAAATTAATTACATTAGTAATTTGCAGAGTTGTGGCAGGTAGATTGGGACTGGATAGATTGCTTTTTTAAAAAATCCAGCATAGAAGTAATGGGCCAATGATAGTATTTTTTGCTGTAAATTTCCATGATTCTTACAGTTGAGATCTGGTGCTGCAGAAAATAATTCACCTGTCCTGTGAGATGCATCTGTTCCCGATGAACAACCCAAAGAGAAGATTCACTTGTTGGAAGAGTTGTATAAATTATAACTTTACTGCGCACACATACTGTAGATGGCACTGTACTATGTGCTACAAATGTATCTTCTGCCTACTGTGTTAGAATTTTAATTTTTTTTATAATGTTAAAATCATAAGATGTTGCGAACGGGTTAACTTTTAGATTTAAGTATGAGACAACCGGACACCCCCACGGGAATTCGTGGGCAGGACTGAAACTCATGATTGACACTCACGATCACATGAGTGTCTCAAGGACAATATTTGTGCTGCTTGCACGTACGCTCAAGATTACGTGAGTGTCTCAAAGACAATATGTGGCTGCTGCTGCACGTACACACCATGAGATGTTCACGTGAACCCAGTGTGATTTGGGCCATGTGATCCAATGTCTGAATAATGATTGGACGTAAGTGAGCATAAAAGTCCATTCAACCCTTTGTTCGGGGGCCGTCTGAGACTGGGTCTCCGAGACAATATCTACTGGTGCTGGAAGACTGAAAGCTTGAACATTGAAGGAAGCCTCCGTAGTGAAGACCTGACGGAAGATTTATATCCCGGTAGTATTGTTTTGTTGGTGAATCTATCAATTGTACTTGCTTGCCCACGCCCATCGGGAATTTGAACGGATCCTTGAGTTTAATAAACACCACTCTAGTTGCAAACAGTAGCTGTGTTTGATTGGAACTCGCATTTTTCTAACATCTGTAAAACGTGGAAAAGTAACCTTGAGACAGAGAGCAGTACTGAAGGCTTTTGATGTAGCAAATTCAGTGATGTTTACTGAGTGGTACTTCAGAAGTCTGATATTAAAAACATTGGCATCATTTTCTTGTATGCATTTAACGATCTTTGTTGTACAAAACAAAAACAGTTTAGAAGACGTTAAGTTCCTGAGGCGGAACAATATTTGGAGTGTGATTATCAATTACCTATTTTGCACTGCAAGCAACCCAACTCAGTTCATCCCAAACAAAACTATTATTTTCACGCACATTCCTACCACATCATGCAACACAATTTTACTGAAGCAAAGCTCACCCACCACCTCATTTCTTTTTCTAAGTGTAACTTACCAATCTCTCCCCAGTGAAATGGGTTGATCGCTCCTGTAGTACAGTTGTAAATAAGGCTACTTTTGGGTCTGAAATATAACCAAAATTTGCACAAATGTGAGTTCATCCCTTTTGATCCAGCAGTCCATGTATTATCTTATTTAATCTTAGTTCCAGTTCTCCAGCCTTGCAATAATATGCAGTGAGTATCCCAGAGATTCTGATCAGAATGCAGCTGTGACAAATGCATTTGCCTAACTGTGGGGGAATGAATGGCACTAAGCAGTCACACATTTGTGGTTGAATACAGGTTCCTAAATCTTGGTGATGTTCACAATGTATCTGTGTCAAATTCCAAAAACACAAACCTCCTGTCTCTTGTTAAATACCTGAGTGTAACTTGGACACTGGACTTGCCCTCTGAGCTTCTTGCAACTCAAAACATTTTATTTTTCCCTGATCACATCGTTAAATCAAAGTACAAATGCAATTAGTGTACCGCTGCTAGGTATTTAAAAGAGCAAAGTATTTAAAAGAGATATCCCTCCCATCTGCTCAGAATTTGGCACTATCATAATCCTTGCATTTGATGTTATCTTTCAGTGTGAGAATGTCTCAAAGTGTTTCCAAGATTTACTGTCAAGCGTTACAATTGTTTTTTGTCAATGAACCCAGCAGCCAGTTTATAAACATCAGTATAAATCAAAGAGCTGTGAAATCAATTTTATTTTCAGGGATAGTTGGACAGGACACCGGGAGAATCTCCCTTTTTCTGAGGAGTGCCATGGGATTTTCAACATCCACCTCTACAGGCAGAGAGGACCTTGGCCTTAACTTCTCATCTGAAGGTAGACATCAAGTTCCAATCCTGATGTGTGAGTTGACCCTACAACCTGCTGATGTTGAGGTGGGATTGCTACCAATTGAACCACTCTGACACCAATTACTCTGCGGTCACCAATACCCACCTCTCCTCATTTGTTCTCCTGGCCTTATAGAAAGGACAGACAGATGGAGTTAATTAAAATAAATCAATTCACAACTGTAAGCAGATGTTCACTTAGTGAAAATCCTCCCATTGTGGAATGACTGCTTTCTATCACAAGATGGAACAACTTACCATTAACCTGCAGAGACAGGATTCCTGACAACAATTTCTATTCATTAAGTACAGAGTGTCCACAAAGTGCAGTTATCATAGAATCTTTCAACACAGAAGGAGGCCATTCAGCCCATTGTGCCTGTGCCGGCTCTTTAGAAAAGCTATCCAATCAGTCCCACTCTCCCGCTCTTATCCCTATACCCCTGCAAATTTTTCAGTTTTATGTAACTACCTAATTCCCTTTTGAAAGTTGTTATTGAATCTGTTTCCACCATCTTTTCAGACCATAACAACTCTCTGTATAAAAAAATTCTCTTCATCTCCCCTCTAGTTCTTTTGCCAATTATCTTAAATCTATGTGCCCTGGTTATTGACCTACCAGGCAGTGGAAATAGCTTCTCCCTAACTACTACATCAAAACCTCTCATAATTTTGAACACCTCTATTAAATCTCCCCTTAACCTTTCCTGTTCTAAGGAGAACAATCCCAGCTTCTTTAGTCTCTCCACATTATCTAATGTCTATCAAATCTGGTACCATTCTGGTAAATCTCCTCTGCACCCTCTCCAAGGTCTTGATATGCTTCCTAAAGTGTGGTGCCATGAATTGGACACAATACTCCAGCTGAGACCTAACTAGTGACTTATAAAGGTTTAGCATAACTTCCTTGCTTTTGTACTCAATGCCTCCATTTCTAAAGCCAAGGATCCCATATGCCTTTTCAACAACTCTATCAACCTGTCCTGACACCTTCCACGACCTGTGTATGCGAACCCCCAGGTCTCTCTGCTCCTATACCCTCTTTAAAACTGTACTATTTATTGTATATTGCCTCTCCTCATTCTTCCACTCAAAATGCATCAACTCACACTTCTCTGCATTAAACTTCATCTATCATATGTCTACCCATTTCACTATGATCTCCTGCAGTCTGCTACCTTTCTGTTTACCATGTTCCCAAGTTTTGTTTCTTTAAAATCTTGCTCTTTATACAAAAGTCCAAGTCATTAACATATATCAAAAAGAGCAGTGGACCTAATACTGATCATTGGGGAATACCACTGTTTTTTGCCCTCCAGTCTGAAAACAACCATTCACCACTACCCTCTGCTTTCTGACTCCGAGCCAATTTCGTATCCATGCTGCTGTCCCTTTTATCCCATGGGCTTCAATTTTGCTAACTCTATAATGCGGCACCTTGTCAAATACCTTCTGAAAGTCCATATACATTACATCAACTGCATCAATCCACCTTCATCAATCCTCTCCATTAAATCATCAAAGAACTCAATTAAGTTTGTCAGACACAATTTGCCTTTAACAAATCCATGTTGACTGTCATTAATTAAGTTATATTTTTCTAAATGAAAATTATTTTTGTCCCAGATTATGGTCTCTAGAAGTTCCTCACCACCGACGTTAGGCTGATTGGGCTGTAGTTACCAACTTTATCCCACTCCCCTTTTTTTAAAAAAAGGGGTAACATTTGCAACCCTTCAGTCCTCAGGCATTATTCTCATATACATGGGGGATTGAAAGATTGTGGCCAGAGCCCCCACTATTTCCACCCACACTTCCCTCACCAATTGAAGATGCATCCCATCCAGACTAGCTGACTTTTCTACTTTGAGCACTGCTAACCTTTTAAGTACATCTTATCTATTTTTATCCTATCCAATTTCTCTATGTCCTCCTCCTTTACTGTGACATCCTGTTTTATGAAGATAAAAGCAAAGTACTCATTCAGTACCTCAGCCATGCCTTCTGCTTCCACAAGAAGTTTTCCTTTTTATCCCTAATCAGCCCCACACTTGCTTTGACCATCCTTTTACTCTTTATGCGTTTATAGAAGACTATAGTGTTCCCTTTTATGTCATCCGCTAATCTTTTCTCATACACTCTCTTTGCCACTCTTATTCCCTTTTTCAGTTCTCCTCTGCACTTTCTGTACTCTGCTTGATTCTCAAATGTATTTTGAATTTGACATTTATCACAAGCTTCCTTTTTCTGTTTAATTTTAATCCCAATTTCCATAGTGATCCAGGGAGCTCTAGCTTTGGATACCCTACTTTCCCCATCATGGGAATGTGTTTGGTCTGTACCCCAACTATCTCCTCCTCGAAGGCCTCCCATATTCTGTGAAGCGCTTTGGGACGTCTAGAAGACGTGAAAAGCGCTATTTCAAATGCAAGGATTATTATTATTATTATTACTCATTTACCATTTTACCCGTCAATCTTTGTTTCCAATCCACCTGGGCCAGATCCCTTTTCAACTCATTGAAATTAGCTCATTTCCAATTGAGTATCTTCACCTTGTTCCTTCTCCCTTTCCATAACTACTCTAAACCTAATGATATTGTGATCACTATTATCCAGATGCTCTCCCACTGAAACCCACTCCACTTGCCTCACTTCATTCCCCAGCACTAGATCCAGCACTGCTTCCTTCCTCGTTGGACTGTAAACATACTGATTGAGAAAGTTGTCCTGTACACATTTTAGGAATTCTTCCCCTTCTGTGCCCTTTACACTATTTTCTTCCTAATCTATGTTTGGATATTTTAAGTCCCCCATTATCACAACTCTATTGTTTTTACATCTTTCTGAAATCTGCTTTCAGATTAGTTCCTCTATCTCTTTCCCATTATTTGGTGATCTATAGTATACACCCTGCAGCTAAACAGCTAAATGCTCCTTAACTCTAACCAAATAGATTCTGTCTTTGACTTATCTAGCACATCATCCCTTTCCAGGGCTCTAACAATATATTTGATCAATACTGCCAACTCCCTCCTCTTTTTCCTTCCCTATCCCTCCTGAATACATTGTAATGTTAAGCTCCCATTCCTGCCCTTGTTTGAGCCAAATCCCAATTATTGGCACTACATCATAATCCCTTGTGGCAATTTGTGCCTGCAGCTCACCAATCTTATTTGTTACACTCTGGGCATTTACATACATGCACTCCAAAACTGCCTTTGTCTGCTTTGCATTTATTCCCTGTCTGATCTCTCCTCTTTATTTCAGTTATTTCTCTCTCCCATTCCTCTATGTTCCTTGTTTCTCCTCTCTGATGGCACATCCTGGTTCCCCCCCACCCTCCCGCCAAATTAATTTAAACCCTCCCCCACAGCAGAATGTCTGTCAGACATCAAGTCCTGGATGAGAGCTAATTTTCTTCAGTTGAACAAGACCGAGGCTCTCCTGATTGGCTCCTGTCAGCGCCTCCTCACCTCAGGCGCTGACAGCATCACCATCCATGGTTGCACACTCCACCTTGCTAAGCCAGTCTGGAACCTTGGCATCTTGTTTGACCCTCAACTATCCTTTCTACCCTACATCTGTGCCATATCCCGCTCTGCTTTCCCCACCTCCACAGCATCGCCCAGCTCCGCCACTGTCTCACACCACAGGCCACTGAAACCCTCATACACACTTTCATTACATCGAGGCTCAACTATGCAAATTCTTTGCTTGTCGGCCTCCCAAACTCCTCCCTCCATAGGCTGCAGATCATCCAGAACTCTGCAGCCCATGTCGTCTCCTGGACCAGGCTCCATGACCTGACTACTGGCTTCCCATCACACAGAGGATACAGTTCAAGATCCTAAACCCCTACCCTCCTGCTTACTCCCTCCGCTCAGCGGTCTCCGATCTGCTTCATGTCACCCTCCTCGCTCGCCCCACTATAGGCGGGCTGACTTTCTGCCACTCTGCTCCCACCCTCTGGAACTCCATCCCGCAGTACCTCCACCTCGGCCCCTCCCTTGCCTCCTTCAAGCCCCATCTCAAGACCCTTCTCTTCGACCGTGCCTTTGATCACCCTGCTTCCCCCCTGCCCTCCACCCTCCCTGCTCCCGACCCCCAGCTTGAGTCCAAAAAAATGGTTTGTGAGTGTCACACTCTCGGAGAATTTCTGCACTGCCTGTCTCTTCTTCTTACCACCCCGGGTGGTCACCCACTAACTCTCCTCCTGAACTCTTTGTGGCTGTTGGGTGAACACCTCCTGAAATGTACGTTCGATTAAAGGCTTCAGCTTCCCGGATGCACTGTAGTGACCCTAGCCCCTCCTCAAGCTCAGAAACTCTAAGCTTGAGCTCTAGTAGCCGGCCGCAATTTCTGCACATATGGTTGTCCAGCACAAGTGAATCATCCTGGAGTTCCCACATGGCACACAATGTGCATGCAACAGGTCTCAGCTGATCCACCATATTCCCAGAAGTTTTTTTCTTTATTATGTTACTGTTTTTTTCTACAGTGCTTTTCTGACCAACAACTGAAACAGGTGGAAGAATGATGATAATTGTACTTAGAAGTAATTGCATTCTGTAGAAGTGTTTAACTGTATTTGGACATCCAGAGGATCAGTGTGAGCAACATTTATTTTCATGGCAATAATGTTTTTCTGTAACATGGATGGAGTGGTGAGGCGAAATGCATCTCTGACAGCTTTTTTAAGCTCCTCCATAGTCTCATTTTGCTACTTTGTAATTGGGGTGGGGGGTGTACAAGGACTTCCAGCACATATGGTGAAGTGCAAACTGTATATTTTGTGATCTAACAAGGCAGACAGTTTGCACACAGGCAATCCCACAAACAGCCATGGACCAATTTTATTTGGGGGTTTAATGGCCATGACGCTGGGCAAGAGAGAATCCCTTCAGACAATTTCCCCAAACCTCGCACTATACTTCATCACTAGGTTGCCAATTTAAAGTGACTTTCACAACTAAAATTCGCTCTTCCAATAAAGATATGAATTTGCTTTATAAATACAACACAAAACATTAAAAGCCAGTAAGGTCTGGGTGTATTGCGCCATTTTAACAAATGCAGGGGTGTGATAATGAGATCCTGTGTAGAGCACAAAAGTTGCTTACCTCTGAACTGCTGTATACCAGCCAGCGGTCAGAGTCAGATTAACCACAACATCAACAGGGATGAGGTCAGCCACTGCGTTGTTGGTTGCCCTCATGGTTCGAAGAATTCCTTTGCCTGCCTGAATAATGGAAACAAGATAAACAATTTGTAAAATCCACCTGACCCAACCATGCGCTCCATCTCTGTTGTTACCAGAGAGGTTCGGATAGGGAAGGACCTTTAACCCACTTGAACTGATGTTTCGAGAATACCCGCCCTATGGCATTATCATGCTGTTTTTTGAATACATCTCACCTGGCTTCAATCACTCTTACTCTTCCCAGCCATAAATTACCCTCTGTGTAAAGTAATACTTCCTGATGTCTGTCCTGAAATTATGCTTCACAACTCTCAGGCTGTGTTCTCTTTCTCTGTTGTCTCGGTGCATTCTATTATGAACCACCTCTTTGGAATACATCACCCTCAACTGATGATTAAACTGCTTTCATGTGATCAAGCAAAGCCCATCCTTGAAACTGAGCTGAGGCCAAAAGCTAACAAAAAGACAATGTTCATTAGCGGTGCACTAAACTTGGGATGATTTAAAAAACGTTTCCAAAAAGATCAACCACCAAAGTGCCTTTCAGAAGGAACATAGGAACCGGAGTAGGCTATTCAACCCATTGAGCTTGATCATGGCTGATCTGTACTTCAACTCCATTTATCCGCCTTTGCTCCATATCCCTTGATACCGTTACCTAACAAAAATCTATCCACCTCAGTCTTGAACATTATAATTGGTCCACAGCCTTTTGGGAGAGAGAGTTCCAGATTTCCACTACCTTCTGTGTGAAAAAGTGCTTCCTGATTTTGCTCTTAAATGATCTAATTCTAATGTTAAGATGATGCCCCTTATTCTGGATTTCCCCCACCACAGGAAATAGTTTATCTGTATCTACCCAATCAAATCCCTTTATCATTTTAAACACCTCAATCAGATATTAGGACACACAATCTGTACAATTACAATTACTTTCTCATTATTTTTTTAGAAACAAGAACAGTGTTACATACAGCAATGAAAAGGCCACTTGGTCCATTGAAATTGTCAATCCAACCCTGCAAAAAAGAGTCAACACTGTAGAATACACTTAAATACAGCCCCACCACAATAAAAGCATAATCTCCTTAAACACATTAAATCTTCCACTCTGTGCTACAGTGACCATCACAGAACAAACCTATTTGTGTGAGAAGAGAACACAAATCAGAACTCTGACATTGGCCTCTTTGCAATTAATGTCACGTTTTTCATGTCAGGATTCCGTCTCAAAGTACTTCACAGGATTTACAAATAGCACACTGCAATGTACCGCAAACAGCCATGAAGTGAATGACCATTTTTATTTAGCGACTGTTGACCAGGATACCGGAAGAAACTCCCTTCTTTTACAGAATAGCCCTGAAGGATCTTGAAAGTCCACCTGAACAGGCAGATGTGACCACAATTTAATGTCTCATCCGAAGGACTGCACCTCCGTCAATGCAGTGCTTCACATTGGAATGTCAGCCTGGACTGTGAGTCAAATGTCCAAATGCGGTTCTTGAACCCACAACCAACACACTCAGAAGCAAAAGTGCTTTCAACAAAATCAGGCTGACACCTGATGAAACTAATTTCCTGAAGCAGTTTAACACTACAAGACAGCATTGAACTTCTTCATGCTTACTCTCACTGTCTGCAAGCCAAGAACCATCAATTCACATTTTCTGAGGACTGCTGTTCAGTTTCACTAAGTGCCGAATGCATGTCCAGCACTGACCGACATCATCAACCTCTCCCTGACCACCGGTTCAGGTCCCACCCCCATAAACACAGCCATCATCATCCGCATCCTAAAAAAACCTTCCCTGGACCCATCCCTCCACTCCAGGGTCCTGGAACGAGTCATTGCTCCCAGGTCTGCTCCTTGCTTTCTCGCCATTCCCTCTTTGAACCCCTCCAATCCGGCTTCCGCGCTGCCCACAGCATGGAAACAGCCCTGGTCAAAGTCACTAATGACATTCTGAATATCTGTAATCAGGGCTCCCTCTGCCTCCTTGTCCTCCTCGACCTCTCTGCTGCCTTCGACACTGTCACCACTCCATCCTCATACACCGCCTCTCCTCTTTACTTAATCTTCGCAGACCTACCCTTGCCTGGATCAAATCCTATCTCTCTCACCGCCTCGATTTTGTTGCCTCTAACGGTTTCTCCTCCGGCCCCCACATTGTCACGTCTGGCGTCCCCCAGGGCTCGGTCCTTGGTCCTCTCCTCTTTAATATCTACATGCTCCCCCTTGGTGACATCATTCGCAGGCATGGGGTCAACTTCCACATATATGCGAATGACACCCAACTCTATCTTTCTGCTTCCACCCTCAACTCCAGCACCACTGCTGTCCTGACAGACTGACTGTCGGACATCAAGTCCGGGATGAGGGCAAATTTCCTACAGTTGAATGTGAACAAGACTGAGGCCAACCTGATGGCTCATGTCAGAGCCTCTGCACCTCAGACTCTGGCAGCATCAACCTCCATGGTTGCACACTACAACTCACCAAGCCAGTCAGGAACCTAAGTGTCTTGTTCGACCCTCAACTGTCTTCTTCCCCATATCCAAGCCATGACCCATTCTGCCTTCCCTCATCTCCGTAACATCGCCCGACTCTGCCACTACCTCACCCCTCAGGACAATGAAACTCTTGTTCATGCTTTCATCACCTCCAGGCTCGACTATGCAAACGCCCTGCCTGTCGGCCTTCCCAACTCCTCTCTTCACAGGCTGCAGATAATCCAGAACTCTGCAGCCCGTGTCCTCTCCCGCACCAAACTCTGTGACCCCATCTCCCCCACTCTCGCCCGACTCCATTGGCTCCTTATCCTTCAGAGGATCCAGTTCAAGATCCTGGTCCTCACCTACAAAGCCCTCCATGGTCTCGCCCCACCCTACCTCTGCGACCTCCTAACCGCCTACCAACCCGCCCGTTACCTCCGCTCAGTCGGCTCCGGCCTGCTCCATGTCCCCCGACCCACCCGCCCCACCATTGGCAGGAGAGTCTTCAGCCACTGTGCCCCCAACCTCTGGAATTCCATCTCCCAATCACTCCATCTCGCCCCCTCTTAGCCTCCTTCAAGTCTCGCCTCAAAACCCTCCTCTTCGACCATGCCATCGGTCACCCTCTTTCCCCTCCCCTCCCTTCTCCCTCCCTGACCCCAGCTCGGGACTGAAATGCTGCACACTGTCCAGTGCCTTGGGACATCCTCCTGATGTGAAAGGCGCTATACAAATGTAATCTTGTTGTTGTTGTTGTTGATGCTCAAACCTGTTCAGCAAGTTGGTCACATGGTGTGAGCCCATATGAATTCCTTTCCTAATTCCTTGACCTTATCGTCAATCTTCTGCCCACCCCCAACAAATTTACCTCCGTCTTGCTCCTGCGAGCAAGACCTCCATTCACTATATCCATATTCGCAATGACAAACATTACCATGGGCAACAGTAACCGGCGACAAGCACTCTGTTCAGAGCAAGCAAACTTACTGGGAATGGCTCCTGCCAACTGGCTCCAACAATGGAGGGTCTGATGATGGCAATGTTCAGATTGGCACTTTCTTGATGCACAATGTATTCTGCCAAAGCCTTGGTGTAAGTGTAGGTGTTGGGCCAGTCACCGAGCAGCTTTGGAGTAATGTCTCGAATTATACTTTCATCCATCCACCTACAAAAAGGAATATTTGTTACTCTTGGAAACCCAAACATACGTCTCTGAATCGCTTCCAACAATTAATAAACAAACATTTGGTCTCTGGGTTACATATCAATTATGTTTTATCTTCACTTATTATAAAATGCGACCACTTGTAAAAAGCTGGTCACAATGCTCTTATTTTAATGGTGCTTCCTTCATATCAATGGCACTGGGAGCTTGGTGTACCCTACAACAACAACAACAACAACAAAAAGATTACATTTGTATAGCGCCTTTCACGTCGGGAGGATGTACCAAGGCGCTGGACATTTCAGACCCGAGCTGGGGTCAGGGAGGGAGAAGGGAGGGGAGGGGAAAGAGGGTGACCGAGTTGGGTGTCATCCGCATACATGTGGAAGTTGACCCCATGTACGCGGATGATGTCACCAAGGGGGAGCATGTAGATATTAAAGAGGAGAGGGCCAAGGACAGAGCCCTGGGGGACGCCAGAAAGTCGACGGGCTGTTTGTTCCACAATTGCTTCATTTTGTAAAGATATCTCTTAGATAATCCAAAAACCTTCTTCTGCCTCACTGTTAAGTATCTTGTTTGCAATGTATTCTAACGTACAGCACAACGCTGCATTGTTGGAGGTTCCATCCTTTGGGTGAGACGTTAAACCAAGGTCCTGTTTACTTGTTCAGGTGAACATTAAAGATCCTATAGCACTGTTCAAAAAAGAAGGGATTTTCTCCTGGTGTCCTGGTCAAGAAAACACCAGATAAAAATTGGTGTGTCACTTCACAGCTGTTTGTACGACACTGGCCTTTTGCAAATTGCCTGCCACGTTTGCATACAGAATACACAGTCACTACACTTCACGGTGAATCCTATGAAGTGCTTTGAGACATTTCGATTAGCTGATATGGCTCCATACCAAACTCATAGATCATCATAATTATTATTGCTGTACTTCCATTAACTGGCACTGGGAAGTACTTAGTCCTATTCCTGGTGTATACTGACTTAAAGGATTAAAGGATTGATGAGAGACCACAATAGTGATCTGACAACTCATCACAAACCGTGTGCCGTTACAAATTCAAAGTTCCTATGCCTACCAACTAGCTGTTACCTCTCCTCCTTCCCACCTTCTCTCTATCATGATGCCCAGGGCCACAGTTAATCAGTGGACACCCCCTTCAAGCACTGGGCAACAGTAGAGCCTTTAGGCTCACACATTTAATGAAGAGTTTATGAGGAAGGAATGCCAGGCATCGTCACCTGACATAAAAACTGTGCCTGCTTCAGAGGAGAAACTCGACAAAAAAAAAACGCTACTGTCCTTCAAAAGAGCTGATTGTTCTTTCACCCTTTCATGTGGGGTCATTTAAATTCTCTGAATCTGAGCTTCAAAATTATGAGTGCACTTAAAAATCTACAACAGAGCACATGATCTGAAATTTTTATTTAATGAACTTAAGACTCAAACCACGTATTATCTGGGTCTCAACTATCTTTAAAAGCATACTTACTCCACAGAGTCAATGAGTCTTTTGGGTTCAACGGGGGGTGGGTAGATGACCTCTTCTACGTGGCTCCGGTTGCAGTTTGCATATGCAGTGGAGATGTGGATGAAGACGTCAAGATTCTGCATCCGTCGTGCCAGGGCCAGGAGCTGCTGTGTTGCCACCACGTTCAGCTGGAGGGCGTGTCTACAGGGTAACCAGAGTGGAACACAGAGTCACTGAGCAGAAACAGCAATCCCCGAATGAGACATGGAATTGCACAGCACACATTTTCTGCATGAGTTCGCATTCAGTAATCTGGAATTCAGTGCCAACTTCCCTCACTGAAACATACAAATCAGAGCCACAACGACGTGTGTACTTGTCAAACCATTAGATGACTCAAGAGACTCGGTCAGGCTTCCAGGCTCCTCTTAATTTCATAAAACAGTCCATTCTTTCCAGTGCCTCTTGCACCTCAGGAAGTGGAGGCAGATTAGGGTTTACTAGGGTCGCATTCACTAACAATATACTACAATTTACAGTAAATCCTATTAAGGGCTTTAAGGTGTCCTCCTGACATGAAAAGCACTGCATTAAAAGTAAGGATTATTGTTTATTATTTTGATTTGCTCACTAATTTAAAACATCAGCAAAAACAAAACTCAGGCCACAGTGCTCCTCTATGCCCTCACCTAATCCCATAACTTTCCTTTTGATTGGAGCTCACCACCCAAGAGACTCAACCCCGAGAGGAACAGAAAAGATGTAGGCTCCATTTCTACTCCAATCGTCACTGGCCTGAGTTCCTGATCACACCCACCCTGCTGTGTATGGAAATGATGTATCTAATTCAGGCCTCCCACACACAGTAGCAAACAATGCCACTGGTATGCAACTGAATGCATTGGGATAAAGCTATGGACTAATATTATTTCCCACAGGTGATAAGGTGTCTTGTGAGCAGGTTGTTCTTCACAGGTTTTACAGCCTGATGATAACTTGAAGAGGAAAGAAGGAATTGATTCTGTCACCAATAAAAAGTAATCCTCCTTCATGTGGCCAGAGTGGTCCAACCTTTTGGCTGCCGAGAGCCGGATGTCATATTTGAGAAATGTCCACGGGCCGTGTAAGCAATATTTTTGTGTTTCCCTTCCAGAAGCATAACAAAATTTATGTCTCAAAGCGATCAACACTCCACGGCTAGGCACACAAGCTGGGAATGGGAGCTGAGGGAGGTGGGCTCCTTCTCAATCATTCTGCACACATTCTCTCCCACACTCTCTCTCTCACATACTCTCTCCCACACATTCTCTCTCTGCTCTCACACTCTCTCTCTCCCCCCTCTCTCAATCACTCTCTCCCAACTCTCCCTCACATACACTCTCCTTCTCTCACAATTACTCTCTCTCCCTCCCCCTCCCTCCCACATACACACACACACTCTCTCTCTCTCCTCTCACATTTTCTCTTGGTCACTCTCTCCCCCTCTCTGTTCTCTGCCTCTGTCTCTCTCTCCCTCTCTCTATGTTTCTCTCCCGCTCTCCCTCAAGCTCTCTCTCTCTTAATCACTCTCTCTCTACCCCTCTCTGTCAATCACTCAGCCCGGTCGATGATTCATCTAGCCCGAGACCATTTCCAACTGCGAGCCTCCTACTCACTCCTCCTGGGTGAACTCATGGCAGTGGCAGGAGCCAGCGATTAGGAGGACGTGATTGTCAGGAGAGCCACTTGCTTTCCCCTCAGCTTGCGTTGACTTCCTGACAGACTGCAGTAATGGCTGGAATGATTTTCACTTTCTTGCTCTATTTTGTAATATTTGGCAAATTGGCTGCTGCATTTGCCTTTGACTCAGTCACCTCACTTTTCAGCAATAACCTGTAAAGAGCTTTGAGACCTTCCAGTGTCACAAGGATCCTACCAAAATCAAAGAATATTACGATTAACATTATCCCTCAATTTTCAAAATGTTACTGAGCAATAAAGATTATTTTAGGTTGGAGTACACCCAACTTTATCTTTCTGCCTCGACCCTCGACTCCAGGACCACTGTTGTCCAGACAGAATGTCCTGGATGACAGCTAACTTTCTACAGTTGAAAGTCAACAAGACCAAGACCCTCCTGATTGGCTCCAATTAGCACATCCATACCTCAAGCACTGGCAGCATCACCATCTAAGGATGCACACTCCATCTCACTGAGCCAATGCGGAACCTTGGTGTCTTGTTTGACCCTCAACTGTTCTTTCTACCTCATCTCCGTGCCATGATCCGCTCTGCCTTTGCCCACCTCCGCAACATTTACCCGGATCAGTCACTGTCAGGTCGTCAAAACCCTCATCCACGCATTTATCACATGGAGTCCTGCAGCTCAGTAGTTAGAGCTTGCCTCGGAATTCAATTTCAGGCAGGGCGAAACGTTGGGCAAGTTTCCTTACTCCACATGCCTCTGTTTACCTAGCAGTGAATAGGAACCCGGTTGTTAGTTGATTGGTGGATTGCTTTTCCGGGGGTAATAATTCCTTCAAAAAAAATTATAATAATAAATTGGTCACTTAATCCACATCTGTTTGTGGGACACTGCCATGCGCAATTGGCTGCCGTGTTTCACCCACAAAGTGCACTGTCAATTCCCTTTACAGTATGTTCAGTGAAGCGTTTTGAGAGATATCGAAGGCGTGATAATCCGCTATGTCAAATGCAAAGCTCGATTATGCCAACTCCCTGCTCGTCAGCCTTCCCAATTCTTCCCTCCACAAGTTGCAGATCATCGAGAACTCTGCAGCTTGTGTCCTCTTCCGCACCAGGCTCCATGACCCGATCACTTCCACCCACGCCCGGCTCCAATGGCTCCCCAGTGGATAGAGTTCAAAATCCTCGTCCTCGCCTTCAAGGCTTTCCACGGTCTTGCTCCTTCCTACTTCTGTGAGCTGCTGACCCCATATCAACCTGTCCGCTCCCTCCATTCCTCAGGTGGTGGCCTGTTCCACATCCACCGCCTGGCCAGCCTGCCCCACCATTGGCGGTCGGGCCTTCAGCCTTTCTGCCCCCACCCTATGAAACTCCATCCCACTTTCCCTTCGCCTCGCTCCCTCCCTTGCCTCCATCAAGGCGCATCTCAAAACCCTCCTCTTCAACAGAGTCTTCGGCAACCCTCCTATTCCCCTGCCCTCCACCCTCCCGACCATGAACCTCAGCTCAGGTCCAAATCTCTGACTGTCCAGCGCCTTGCAACATCCTCCCAACATGAAAGATGCTATGCAACAACATTACATTTTAAAGCGTCTTTCATGTAGGAGGACGTCCCAGCACGCTGAAAGTTGGGGATCAAGACCGGAGTGTGGGGGGGGGGCAGGGTTGGGATGAGGAAGGGCAGAGTGGTAGGAGGGCGGCTGAAGGCACAGTCGAAAAAGAGGGTCCTGCCTTGAAGGAGGGAAGTGAGTCAGCAAGGCGAAGAGATGATGGGATGGAATTCCAAAGGGTGGGGACAGACAGCTGAAAGTCTGGGCGCCGATGGCAGGGCGGGTCGGGTGGGAGACCTGGAGCAGATCGGAGCCTGCTGAGCGGAGGGAACGGACAGGTTGATAGGGGATCAGCAGGTCACAGAGGTAGGAGGGGGCAAGCCCGTGGAGGGCCTTGAAAGTGAGGACGAGGATTTTAAATTCTATCCTCTGAGGGATGGGGAGCCAGTGGAACCGGACGAGGGTGGGGGTATTGGGGTCACCTTCATACAAATGTAAGCAATGCATCATGGTAATATCAGCTTCAAATGCTTTCCTACACTGCAATTTTTTTTTGCATTCTCTGAAAAAAATTAATATTTTTTATCAGCAACAAGATTTTGTACCTTTGATGTCGATCGGAATGATACCCAAGTGGAATTAGATTTGCAAAGTTTTCAGTCTTCAAATAACCCCCCTAATTCTCTTTGAATTGGCAAATGATATATTGATATATATGATATATATATACAAATGATATATAGATGATATATATTAATATGAAATTGCATTAGTTAATGTTCTCCCAATGCTCAGTTGGCAAAGCTACTTTTACACAGACCCAGACAGCCCTGGTTGAATCCCTGAAGCATGTGGATTCTAGGACATAACCTAGGTATTGGAGGTAAATTGAGAGTGAAATCAGAAAAAAATCCTACAAAGCATCGTGCAAATGTAGAATTCACTGTTCCAAAAGGTTATAAGTCAGTTGAAATATTTAAGAGGGAGGCAAATGAATATTTAGGAATGTCAAGGGATAAGGTGAAAGGATTGGAATGGTATTAAGTTGCAGATCAATCATACTGTAATAAAATTGTGGAAGAGTTCTTGATGGTTTGAACTTGAACTTGATGGCTTGATCGTCTACAACAACTTGGATTTATATAGCGCCCTCCACGCCGGTCGGCGTCTCAGAGCGCTTTACAGTAACGGATCCCGGGGCTGAGCCAGAGGGAGGGGGAGGAAGGTGACCAAAGGCGTCTACTCTTATTCCTCTGTTCTTACCATCCAAATAAAGCTGCTATAATAATCTCCAAGTTCATTCCAGTGTCTGTTCTCCTTATGGTTTGTCCAGTCTTGGGCAGGCAACACTGGGAGCATGTCAATCAGCAGAACCACCCCTTGGCCAGGAATGGGGAGGGGTGAGGGAGGGGAAGAGGGTAATCAGCCAGGATTCCTTTGCTTTAAATGACAATCCAGTGATCTCTTTGAAAAGTGCAAATATGTGGAAAAGGTTGGATAAGTGTTGCCACACATCCCACCTTGGTCGAATAGCCTGCTGACTGACTATTTAGCCTCACAAATAAAGAATGGCCACTTCCACCAGGTACCAAAAGGCAGCCAATGCCTCTAGAACAGTAGCCAGAAGACATTGGTGATTGTGGTTAAGGAAAGAACATAGGAGAGGGAGGGAAATGACCAACAGTTTTAAAGGACATACAGGAAGTATGCGTGTGAAAGGTGTTGTGTAAGGGTAGCAGGTTAAACCAACACAGTAACTGGTCTGGTTAAAAGCGCCCCCTGCAGAGCAGTGTGTTTTGCGTTCCCTGCTAATTACCCAATTAGGGCAATTAGATAAGAAACTCATCTTTGTTTGATTTCTCTCAATTTGCTGTCTGCTGGCACAAGTCATCCAAGGCACTTACTTCAAAGGTTCATCAAAGCGAATGGTGGCTGCACAGTGGAAGACGATGTTGATGGAGGAGAGCAGGCGTTCGGTGTCTACTGCGCTGATGGCAAGGTTCAGCTGTGTCAGCTCACTGCTGATGGGAATAATCTTTTTCTGGAAGTCTGGGGAATCTTCTCTTACCCTATCAAACAACTGTAATGAAAAAGATTAAATATATTGTTAATGGATTAGGGACTGCAACCCTGCTCCATTTAGCGGGCTTTACCAATATAATGTGCTTAGCTTTTAATGTTCAATCAATTCTCCCACAATGTGGATGCATTTGAAGGAGATATTTTCAGCATTTAATTCTGCCTTGATTTGGAAAGGTCTGGGCTTCTCAACACGTTCCACTTGCCAAATCAAAGAGAGTTCAAGCGAGAGCTGAAAGAGGCAGAGCCGTCATTTGCAAAGCAACAGAAACAAACTCGCATCTTTCGTTGCAACAATGATATTAATTGTGATAATCCTTGCATTTAATATAATGCTTTTTGCATTGTCAAAATGGCTCAAAGTGCTTCACAAATTTTACTGTGAAGAGTCGTCACTGTGGTGAATATGGCAGCCAATTTGTGCAAACTAACGTCCCTCAAACAGTGAAGTGAGTGATCAATTTTATTGAAGGGGGGGTTGGGTGTTGGTCAGGACAACCCTCCATCTTCTGTGAGTGCTACCACCTGAGCCAGACATGGCACTGATAGAAAATACTTCTCATGATACAATCATTGGCTATGAAAGGGCAGCTTCATTATATTATGACCAATCATTAAGACAACCATAGGCTAACCAGACTTCTGTTTCTCCATCAGATGCTGATTGACCAACACTACGAGCTCCATTTCCCTTCTTACACCAATTTGCATTTATAAAGCATCTTTCAAGCAGACGTGCTTCTCAGAAATCTTTCTCTGTTGTTCCCCTAATCTCTTTTCCTCTGCCGCGCATCCTCACAATGTTAAAATCCAGTCTCCTTGTATAATATTATGCACTTCAATTCTTTGGTTTCCAGAATTCCAAAACCTTCACCTTTTCATCAGGAAAAGAAGAGAAACCGTAAGCTGTAGGGGTAACAGTCGCAAAAAAGTAATGAGCAACTACGCTAAGCAACTGTGAGGTCCGTAGCATATTGGTTAGCGCGGTCGCAAGAGGAATCTGGTTCAATTCCTGGGCGGGGTGAAAGCATGGCAAGTTTTCTTACTCCTGCTTTACCCAGCAGCAAGCAGGAACCTGGTTGTTAATCAATTATCGGATCGTTTTACCGGAGTAATAATCCCTCCCCCCCAATAAATAAAATTGGTCCCTTATTGCACGACTGTGGGACATTACTGTCTACAATTTAATCCCAGGTTCACCCACAAAATACACAGTCAATTAACTTCACAATATATTCTGTAAAACGCTTTGAGACGTCTCAACGACATGATAAAGCACTATATTAAATGCAAAGATTAGTATTCTGTCCAACTAAGGGCCACAAACATGTAAAATGGATAGTGTGATGCCATGTCCAGGTATCTTGTGTAACTGTAGGTGAAAATCCCAATAATCCTAAGCAGTTATCCAACAGTCAGGCAGGCATCAATTCTACCTCACTTGGAGATTATTCCCAACGAAGGCACAGGAAGTCTTCATGGCAGGAGTTTACAGCACAGCATTGACCATGTGTGATTCAAGCACAGCTGCACTCAGACACAAAATACAGTGAACTCATCCCCATGGGCTTTGCTCAAAATTTCTGGCTGCCTGAAATGGGAAACTGGGCGAATTGGACAGATATAGATGATTTTGTTAACCACAGGATCGCTATAGCATCTGCACAATTTGTTTGCGATAGTTCACTTAATTATTTTGGGTTTCCCTAAGGAGAATTCTTCATATAAAGAAGGCCCTTCAGCCATTAGAACTCATCAAGCTATTTCTTAAATAGAGACTGTAGTGCTGGCCTCCATTACCCTTCCTGGTAACATGTTCCAGTGTAAACCACTCTCTGTGTAAAATAATGCTTCCTAGAATTTGCCCTAAAATATTCCAACGCTGAACCTGTGCCCTCTTGTACTGCTGTATTGACATAACTCAACATATCCCGGGTTTACTTTCTCTATCCCATCCAATATCAACACGCCACTAAAATGTTCCCTCTGAAACTTATCTTGTCAAATCAAACTGAATAGCAAAAGGAAGGAATCGACGGCAACATAGTAGAAAAATAAAAGGTAACAGTATTTCTCAGTGCCAGCTCTTTCTGGGCCCCTTGCCCATAATCACCGCAGTGGTTAGGGACTGTGCAAACAGACCATGCTAAGAATAATATCTTAAATACACCATCTGATGAGAGCTTCTCTGACCAAGTAGAAGGACAACAATATTTAGACTATAAATCCCTGTGTTTTCTGCAGCCATGTTCAACAGCCACAAATGCCACCACAGCTATTTCTGTGGCAAGTGAACACCTTCCACACTATAACAGGCTCAAAATGTAAAGGGTATAGTTATCAGGTCATTTATCATGGGTTTGCATGACTCTTCCATTGCAGTCCCAACAAATTGCAAACCTTAACACTGTGGGATGCTTTGTGATGTGAAGGATCCACAATAGCTGTTACCTAGCAGGTAATCTGCACACAACTGTGCATTGGACCAGATGTCCAGTATGCATAATGTAAAAATAAGTTCACGGATTAAATACATTTATGAAATTTCTGAGATAGAAAGTTGGGGGTTCCAGACCCACGTCGAGATTTAGGCAGACATGCCAATGCAGTGCTTGCATTGTCGCAAGTGCTGTCCTTCAGATGAAACATTAAACCTATGTCTGCCCATTTAGATTGACGTGAAAGATCCCATGGCATTATTTGAAAAGAGAAGAGAGTTTCTCCACGTGTCCTGGCCAACAATCCGTCAAATTAAAAAAATGGTCACCCACTCCAAGACTGATTGTGGGTCATTGGTGTGAGCAAACTGGCTGCTGCATTCTCCAACAAATACCATACCTCAGGAAAACTATATTGGTCCTGGAGAAGGTGCAGCGTAGAATCAATGACAAACAACAAATTACATTTGTATAGGACATCCCAAGGTGTTGACCAGGATGATACCAGGTCTTAAAGGGTTAACCTATGAGGACAAGTTGCATAATCTTGATCTGTATTCCCTTGAGTTAGAAGGTTGAGGGATGATCTGATTGAGGTTTTTAAAATAATAAAGGGATTCGATAAGGTAGCTACAGAGAAACTATTTCCTCTGATGGGGAATCCAGAACAAGGGGCATCATCATAAAATTAGAGCTGGGCCATTTAGGAGTGAAATCAGGAAGCACTTTTTCACTTTCAAGGCACTTTCAAAACTTTCAAGCTTTTACGGACTTGATCACATGGTAACCTCGTTCATAACTTTATTGATTCTGGAGTTCCAATTGTGCACTGTCCCAGTAAGAGATCTCGACATTGGCTTTATTCCCAGCAGTATTAAGACAGCATGACAACTCCCAGTTATCATGGCAAACCATGCCTTTAATCCAACATTGCCCTGGAAAGCAGCCCCCTGTTCTGCCATTTTATTATTACATTATGGAAGATATTCCCCGCCTTTTCTCCAAATTGCTTAATATCTGTCAATCTCCCTTTTGAAAATCATGACTGATTCAGAAACTATGGCCTTCACAACCCCTTCTGTGAAGGCTGTGGATTCTGAATCAGTCAGAATCAATGGCCTTCATGTCTATTGATCTCACTTCTAACCCACCTGGCTCGCAGGCTTAATACTGTCTTGTTTGGGATCACTTCACCACAGGATGCCCTATCTAGCTTGTCAATTCCTGCATTATTTTAACCACTTGAATCAGAGGAAATATAACTCAAATCTACGCAACCTCTCATCATAGCTAAGCCACTTCATCCCACATATTGCTCCAGTGAATCATCACTGGATACCCTCCAAAATCAGAATATCGTTCCTGAGGTGGGCAACTGAAACCCAAACAACATAAGACTGCAAATATGTTTCTCAGCTTATACAAGTCAGCACAAGATAATCAGCAGTTTCCATTCCCATGTCTGAGATAAAGATGTGCAATGTATGCAATGACACAAATATGTGGTGACCAAAAGGTTGTGATATTTCCAAAAAAAATCCCAATTTGTTAAGACTTATTAGACAATGTAATGGTATCACGTCTTTTTGGTCACCCTGTACAAGGATCGTGCTGTTGTGCCAACTATGCAACTTCCAACAACTGCTCTTAAGAAATGCAGCATCCGCAGCCTGAGTGTACAGGAAACAGAGCTGCAACTTACTCTAGGAGCTTGCAGGTTTCTTCCCAATTTGCTTGTTTCATCTGGGGTTGCACAGTAAGGCAAATTGGTCCCAGCATTTCCAAGATGAGGGAGAGGTAAACCAGCCAGGATTTGTGCTTCTGGATTCTCTAATTTGCCCTCTGCTGGTAGTTTACATATGTGGCAGCTAGGTGGGGAAAGGTGCACCAGGTTCAGCTGTGACATCCTCTACAGTCAAGTAAATTCATTATTATTCATTGTAACTTTTTACTGCATGCGTGAACCCAAGCAGTGAGCATCAGTCGGTCATTCGTAAACGGATCCAACACAGCCAGGGCTCAGACACGAACAATGGCCAACTGGGAACATAGAAATAGGATTTGGCCATTCAGCCCCTCAAGTCTGTTCTGCCATTCTATTAGATCATGGCTGATCTGTACCTCAACTCCATTTACCTGCCTCTTCCATAAGCCACAATACCCTGACCTAACAAAAATCCACCTCAGTCTTGAAAATTTCAATTGATCCAGCATCCACAGCCTTTTGGGGAACCCATTGTGTGAAAAAGTGCTTCCTAATTTCACTCCTAAATGGCCCAACTCTAATTTTAAGATGATGTCCCTTGTTCTAGATTCCCCCACCAGAGGATCTAGTTTATCTGTATCTAACCTATTGAATCTCTTTATCATTTTAAACACTTCTATTAGATCTTCTAAAATCAAGGGAATATCAGCCAAGTTTATGCAGCCTGTCCTCATAATTCAATCGTTTTAGCCCTGTTATAGTATATCTTTCCTGAGGTGCTGTGCCCACAACTAAATGCAGTACTCCAGATGGGGAAGGGAACCAGAGGGCAACTGGTGCCTGCAGAACCACACCTCA